TTATTACATCAAGAATGATGAGGCAGAAAAAGAGTATCTAAAAGGGTCTGGCACTATTTCTGTAAGAGTATCAGGTCTTTAACTTGAGATATGAATATAAAATTCTTTTTTATACTGGTCTAGTGTGTGAATCTGATGCTCTTACTCAACCATAAGCCCTAATATCTTCAAGGCCAAAAAGTTAAAAAAAACTAGAAATCTGAAAAAAAAAAAAAAAAAAAAAAAAAGGGAGGGGGGGTATTAAATTATCCAACTTCCAAGAAAAGAAAAAAGTCGGCAGGACATAATCTCAGAATAAAAAATACTCTTTCCCAAGAATCAGTTGTTGGTAATCTACTTGGCTGTAGGAGACTGTTCCTACAAATGTATGTACTCTTAGTTTTCTCATTTCATCTCCCTGGAGACTGGTGAAAACCTCACCGCAAATCACAGTTTGGGGCTCAGACCATAAGAAGGTATAACATGGGTGGGGTGGGATAAACCATGAGGTATTTGGAGAAAGACTTTTTTCTCTCATTTGTGTATAATAGCTTTCCTGGGTATTTCTAAGGTTCAAAGAGTATTTAGGTTTTCTGTTTGGAAATAGCACAGAGTGGGGCGCCCGAGTGGCTCAGTCGGTTAAGCATCTGACTTTGGCTCAGGTCATGATCTTGCGGTCTGTGAGTCAAGCCCTGCGTCAGGCTCTGTGCTGACAGCTCAGAGCCTGGAGCCTGTTTCAGAGTCTGTGTCTCCCTCTCTCTCTGACCCTCCCCCGTTCATGCTCTCTCTCTGTTTCAAAAATAAATAAACATTAAAAAAAATTTTAGAAATAGCACAGAGTTGTTAGGATTTCTGTTTAGGAAAAATACTTACAAATTTAAAGGCAGGAGGAGGCAAAGTTGGTAAAACTCCAGACCCTTCTTTGGTGGGCACTAATAATTTTCGCTTCTTTCTTGAGCAAAAGAAAGGAAGCCTACTGGAGCTGCCCTCCTGCTCCAACTATCAGGCCAATCTAAAGTTCCTTCACTACCTCCTGCCTCCAAGGGGTCTGCTTTCACCCGCATCTCATTTGTGAAGGCAGACCACAAACAGGCAAAAATTCTTCTTTTTCCTTTTTTTTGTTTTTGGTTAAGTAGGCTTCACACCCAGCGTGGAGCCCGGTGCAGAGCTTGAACTCCTAACCCTGCGACCAAGACTTGAGCTGAAATCAAGAGGCAGACGCTCAACCGATGTGAGCCACCCAGGTGCCCCAACAAATAGTCTTGGTAAACTCATCAGTGGCTTCCATGGCATTCAGGATACAGACACCAATCCCAGCTGAGCCTGCCCTGCCATATAGGGGATCTAGGCGGGCTCTCCCTCTCCAGCCTCATTTCTCCTCTCCTGCAGGGCTCTGCCCACAGCTGCTTGTCTTCATCTCCTGCAAAATAACATACCCCTGACTGCTCTTTTCTTCTTCTGGGTGATCTTTACTTTTTCGGGGCCGTGCCCTCCCTCCCCCCCAGCTGTATCAACTCCCCTCCTCCCCTAGTACCCTCTTGCCATGCATCCTATGGTTTGTCTTTGTAGCAACTGCCACAATCATAATTAATTACTTGTATAAAGTCTGCCTTCTCAACTAGAATGTAAACTCCAAAAGATTAGGAATGAAATCTATGACGGCCATCTGATCTTCCAGTCCCTGGCATGGGGTATGGCACCTAGTTGCTACTCTATAGATTACTGTTAAAGGAAAACAAAATTCTCTTCAGTGCATGCTTATCGGGCACTTCTCAGGGCACTTATATATAACATTGGGAAGGAAAAAATGCAAACAGAGAAAATCCTTGCGGTTACAGAACTTATAGTCTACTGGGCAATGAGCTGCTAAACAAGATAAGTAAACTACATGGTACATAGATGATGGTTAAGTGCTAAGGAGAAAAAAGTAAAATAGTTAAGGTATCAGGTTATGCGGTGGTGTGTGATATGTTTCAATGGGTGCTCAGGAAAAACCTCACTGAGAATGTCACTTTTGAACAAAGACCTGAAGGAAGCCAAGCAGCTAAGAATGTGATTATCTAGGGATAGAACATTCCAGGCAGACAGAAGAGCAGGTGCAAAGGCCCTGAGGTGGGAGCACGAGTGCTCCAGGAAAAGCAAAGAAGCCAATGTGACTTGAGTAGAGTGAATGATGGGAAGGGAGAAAGAATATGGTCTTTTAATCTATTCTACGTATCTGTGTAATCATTTACATCGGACACTTCTTGGGGAGTGCTTCTAACTAGCATCTATTCTAAAAAACCATGGATTTCAAATAATTTTTAAATCAAAAGAACCCTTCCTTCAGATGAAACTTGAAATGGAAGTTCAAAATAGGGAACAGAGGAGCAGAGGGGGGGCTGTCTGTCAAATCCCACTCATCCCTGTACCCAACGATGGTTCAAGGCAACACCATGGAGGAAGATTTGTTCCCCAAATAGCTCAGGTGCAACAAAAACCACTCTAGAATGATAATCTGATGCTCTGCCTGGAGACAAGTGTTCTATAGTACACTGCTCCAGAAGTATGCTTGTCTGGCTTCTGTACCTATAAGGAGGCTTTCAAAAGATATTTACCCCCAACAAGGAAACCAAATTAGTCTCTACAGTTATAACCACATGGTGATGTGTGGGTCTGATATTTTCCTAGAAATGAGTTCTCTATTCTGGAACTTCTTTTTCCTTCAAAACAGTTTTTAAAAACTTTTTTGTTTTTTGAAAAGGTAAAATAGGTCAACGATTAAAAAGAAAAACCACTAAAAAGTTCGTCTCCTATGGATAACTAAATTACTGTGTATTTGCAATGGAATGCCACACACTTAAGAAAGCAAATTAAAAGGAACTACTGATAACAGGCAACAATATAGACGAATATCACAAAAATAATTTTGAGCAGACACACGAATACATACTTTATGACCTATATATATACGACATTCACAAACAAGCAAAACTGATCTTTGGTGACACAAGCTGGAACAGTGGCTACCTTTGGAGAGGGTAGTTACTCAGTGGGAGGATGAAAATATTCTATATCTTGATCTGGATGGTGGATACAAAGTATAGCAGGTATCTATAAAAATTCATGGAGCTGTAGAATGATTTGTGCATTTTATTCTATGTAAATAATAATAAAGTCAGTCTCCTTTCCATAAGCTGTGGCTCCCAGCTACCCAGTTTCCCTACCCAGAGGCCACTCCTCCAGCTGGGATTTCCTAATGCTCCTTTTTTTCAGTACCTGCATACCAGGGGTGGAGTCCTGGGAGGAAGCCACACAGACACCAGAGGCCAAGGCTGTGGGCACTGGGCCATGGCTTGTGTGCATGCCCCTTGGCTTTCTCGGGCCCCTTTGGCCCTCTGCCTCCCTCTTCTTCCTCCTTTTCTCCCTCCTTTCCTCAGAAGGCAGGGGGGTGGAAGCCAGGGAGGTGCGGGAGTTGCTGACCCTTGCTAAATAATGCTGTCCCTCCTGGCCCTCCAGGGTGTGCCTGCCTGCAAAGGACAGCATGTGCTGATCAAGCTTATCATTGACACGTTCCCTCCCTCTTTTATTCTCTCCCTTCTGTTCCCTGGAATGATCCTAGGACTTCCTGCTCCTTGGGCATTCAGTCTCGGAAAGCTTCCCTGGTCTCTCAGGCTTCCGTAGGTTTCCCTTCCATGGGGCAGTCCTGATAATCCACTTTGTGTTTGCATATAAACGTATCTCAGTAGATGCTGCAGGCCTGTCTTATCTTCCCTCCACACCCTATCCGCACCTCCCAACTACTAGCATCATTCTTTGACCAAGTCCCTACCCCCCAGCCAGAGCTTCAGCCCCGCCAAGCCTTTTATCTAACCATCTTAGGGTCCTGACTCCTTGAGGGCAAAGGGGCCCGAATCCTGTTCAAGTCAATTTGGCAAGCACTCTTGGAGCAGGGCGGAGAGTTGTTCTTCGCCTTCGAGAATCTTCCAAAGGGGGGAAATGGTGCTCAACCCAGACCCAATTACAAAAGTTCTTAACCCGATACTTTGTATTGGTCCTTCCTTAGTGCAAGGCACTGACTTGCATGCTTTTTGTGCATTCCATCTCTGAATTTCCCCAACAACACTAAGAGGACAGTTGTTAACCCTCACCTTGGAGACGAAGAAGCTGAGGCACAAGGTTAGCCTGCTGGCACGTGGCAGCCAGGATTTGAACAGCAACTTCCCTAGGGAAACGCCCTATTTAGGCTGGTGGTGGTGGTGGGGGGGGGGGGTGGTCTCCAGTGGGAGTTGGTGCATTGGAGTTCAGAGTCGGCCTTGGGGAACCTTTAGTTGTGCCACACCCTTAATGCACAGTTCTCTCCTGCGTCAGGGGCCAGAGAAGGGGCTTAGGGCCGGAGTATCCGCAGGAAGCCAAGACTTTAAGAGAGGCAGATACAAAGCTCCGCGTGGCAGAGTAGCAGAGGGGCGCGGGGGAGCCCGGGCCAAAAGAAAGAGGCCCTGCCGACTCCCGGGGCACTACAAGCCTCGAGGCGTTGCAAGCGGCGCGGCAGTTGCCAGCCCCAGTGGCGCGCGCAAACTGCGCGGAACTACTTCCCCCGGGGCGGCTTCGGGGCCGGGGTCCACGCGACAGCCCGATAAAGCGGGAGCGTGGGATCCGGAGCCCACCGCCGCTTCCCGGGCGCGGCCACGTGCGCCCCTCTAGGCTTGCACGCTCCGCCGCGCCGGGCCGCCGGGCCACCGGCAGGCACGCGCACCCCCAGCGCGCACACACTCCCGGGCACGCACACCGACGGCCCAGCCCACGTCCGCCACGCCCCGCCCTCCCCCGCGCCCCGCCCCCGCCCTCGCGGCGCAGGCTGCCGTCCTCCCATTGGCCACACGGCGCGTGACGCGCGGCGCCCGGCCCCGCCCCTCGTCAGTCACTCGGCGGAGGCGGCGCTGGCGGGGACTAGTCTCGTCCGGAGACTGGCAGCGGCGGCGGCGGCGGCGGCCGGAGCTCGAGCCCCAGCGGCTGAGGGCGGGCGGGCGGGCGCGGGGGAGGGAGGGGGGCCGGTCCGCGACGACTCCCCGGACGGCGTTTCTCCTCCGAGCGGCGCCGATTTCGGCTTTGGGGGGGGCGGGGGTACAGCCCATCCATGACCATGGGCGACAAGAAGAGCCCGACCAGGTACCTGCTCCGAGCTGAGGGGGCGGAAGGGGAGGGAGGGTTG